TTTAAAGTAAACTCTATCCCCCATAACATGGGGCTCGAACTCACGACCCCAAGATCAAGAGTCGCATGCTCCACCGACGGAGCCAGCCGGGATCCCCAACACGCTCATGTCTTTAAGAACACACTTTATCTGAACTCCCGGGTTCCATGTGGGAGGATGGGGAGGCCGAGCTTCTATGCCCAGTAACCAGGCCCCACCAAGAGCACATTCGGAGGATTACAATCCCTAAATTCCCCAATAAAACCCATCTTTAAATTTTTCATGTTGAGAATGTTTGGAGGAACAAATGAACCCTTTGAGACATTTTCCCCAAAAGGTCAAATCATGTCATTAAATACAGAGATGAGGGACACCTGGGTGGCTCGGTCAGTTAAGCATCAGACTCTTGATTTCGGCTCAGGTCATGATCTCAGGGTTGTGGGATTGAGCCCCGTGTCGGGCTCCGAGCTGAGTGTGAGCCTGCTTGGGATTCTCTCTCCCCCTCCCCTGAGTTCACTCGCTCTCTCCCTCAAAAAGTAAAAATCGAAACAACAACTGTGGGTGTGCCCACTCCTACAGGAAAATAAGCAAAAAAAGAAAGAAATGAGAAAAGATACCAACTTACTTGCTCAAGAGGAATCACAGCATCATTTTCGGCAAAAATGAACAACGTGGGGTTCTTCAAACTGTGCACATCTTCAGAATCCTTGATGATGCCTGGAAATTGGGGACAGGGACACGGGGGTAGGATTTCCACACACGTGCCTCAGAAAACCATGTGGGTTTGGCTTGATTTTTTTTCAAAGTAAAATCTGTGCTTTGGGGGTTTTGTTTATTTTCTTTCTAGCAATTCCACGCAAGTGGCCCGACTTTCCTGCTCTCCACCTCCTTCACTGGGTCAGGCCACAAATAACGGAATTAGACCTTGCAGCGGCTTTGCACGCAAAGATACAGAAGCAGCCCCGAAAATACTCCCTCCTCGTGGGGCACGCCTTCATTTACAAAGAAGTGACGACTCTCCATCTGCACCTTCTGACCACCACTGTTCTAGAAGTTTCTCAAGGTCCACACAAGCCCCATGGCTTCTGGCCTCAGTATGCCGAGGGGCCTCGTCCATACAGCGTTCCACGGGGTAACCGTGCCCAGACCAGACCACGAGTGTCAAGTCTCAGATGTGCCACCTGGTCCGTCTGCAAAAGTTACCTTTCATCCTTCAGAATCACAGAGCATTTGGTCAGAAGCCTGTCCTGCCTTGGGGACAACCACCGTGGGTGTGCCCCCTCCTACAGGAAAATAAGCAAAAGAGGTACCATATGTTGCCCCTCTAAGAAGAACCGTAGTGTTAAAGGAAAGATTACTCTGACACTTGGTAAGGAGGCTGTATTCAAAGGGGACCACCGCACAGGAGGGTGTGAGGGGAGAGAGATCCCTCCGCCCAAATACAAGGACAAGTGGGGATTTACGGCCAAGGAGCAGGGTGCGGGGCAGTGGGCAGAAAATTACGAAGAGGAAACACTGGGGTAAGACGGATTCTGGCCAGGTGATAGGACAGGGTTCTTGCTGACAAGAGACGGAAGGCGGGGTGTGAGGAACTTGGACAGACATCAAAAGTAGGGGGTTCTCTCTGAACTGCCCCAATGGGCCAATGTCAGAGCCCGGTCGGGGCCTCCTCGGAAGGAAGACTCACCGTGGAGCCTGACTCGAGTTTGGTGCCGGACAGGGTCCCAGTCAGGAGGGAGAAAATAATGGAAATCTTTTGTTTCCATTTCCTGCGGGAGCCCAGAGAGCCTCCCCTCAACCTGGAACTCGTCTCTAGAAGCAGGGAGCCACAGGACAGATGGCCACGCTCTGTTAAGGCCACACTGTGTGGCTGGACAGAGGTTTGACGCCCTGGAGTCCCGCCGGGCTCTGCAGCTCGTGCAGTGTGCAACAGCGGCCAGCAGGGGGTGCTGGCGAGGCGTCCACCAGGCTATTTCACACCAGGGCACCGAACGGCCCGGAACAGCCAGCCCCCTCTGCACAGCGGCAGCTGACAACTGACTATTAACTTTGGGGTAAGTTACTATTTAAAGGGGTTTTTTTTTTTTCTTGCTAAAAGCAAAAATGCCACAGCAAGAAACCATTAATCCAAGTAAGAATCCTTTGTGTAACTGTACAATATACTATCATGAAAGAAAGCCAAATTGCCTTCCACATCTTTTTTTCTTTTTTTAACATTTTTATGGTCCGAATGCTTCTACACTGTGAACTTAGTATGCCATTTCTATATAGAGATGGAATGTTCTTATCTCATTGCTATCATACGTGCGGTTGGTTTGGCTACAATGTTTATGTTGCTACTTACATTTTAGAATCGCTTTTCCTTTTCTTTCCTTCCTTTATATTGTGTGCCTGTGTGTGTGTGTGTGTGTGTGTGTGTGTGTGTATGCGGTTGAAAATAACTGCTATCTTGGAAAAATACCTTCACAGATGTTCCTCGTAAAGAATATTGTTTGATATTCACCATTATCACAGAAATAAATGTGACCCCCTTCATCCTCGGTGAAGAAATTGAGACCTCGGGTTAGGTGACTCCTCTGGTTACTGCATTACCAACCTCCACCTCCACGCTCACATTTTTAAAGCCAATTCCCTCAAGACGGGCCATCTCTGCACAGCTGGGTCTATGCTGCTCCCCGAACCGTTAGTTTGGGAAGAGGCTCCCGGGTGTCCCTCAACCACTCCTGTTCCCATCGCGTAAAATGCACAAGGCAGATTTACCGTAGACGGACACCCCTGCCCTGAGTTCTGGGTATTTCATCATCACGTGATGGACAGCCACTCCGCCCCAGCAGAATCCCACGACGCCGATCTTCTGAGCGTGACACTGCTGTTTCAGAAACCTCAAGACAGCATCGACCTCTCTAGGACAGAAAGTTATCCAAGAATCAACAGATACGGATCACTTCTATGTGGAATCTACAAAGCCAAACTCAGAGAAACAGAGCAGAGTGGGTACCGGAGGTGGGGCGTGGGGGAGAGACTGAGACTGGACAGACGACATTAACTTCCAGTTAGAAGATTAACAAGCCTAGGGGTATAAGGTGCAGCCGGTGACCTCAGTGAGCAACACTGTGTGACAGACTTGAAGGCTGCTAAAAGGGTAGACCTTAAATGTTCTCACCGTGAAAAAGAAACGGCAACTATGTGACAGGACCAGGTGTGGGCTAAGGCTATGGTGCCGATCCTTTTGCAGCATATAAATGTACTAAATGAGCACATCGTACACCTTAAACTTATACAACATTGTGTGTCAATTATATTTCAATAAGATAGGGGCACGGTGGTGGCGGGGGAGGCAACAGCGAAACACACACACACACACACACACACACACACACACACACACACAATCAAGAGGGATTTTGTGAGCCCCCTGGGGAGTGAGCTGGACAGCAAGTGCTGTACCAACAGTAACAGGGGCTTCGGCATCCGCTGTTCCTTGACCTTCTGAGATTTCTTACTTTCGTCCTGCCTGAGTGACGCACATCCCCCCACCCGTCTCCCCACGGGTCTCCCTTCCGAGCCCAGCCTCCTCCAACCACCTGTCAGGGCTGCCGGAGGGCTCTCAGCAAACCACACATCAGACCAGCTCGCATGCCAGCTGGAAGCAGAGTTCTGGCTTTCCGAAGCCTCCGGATAAAGGCCAAAGGCCAAAGCACCACTCCTAAGGCCTGATCCCAAGATCCACCCCCAGCGAGCACCCGGGCCCGCCCTCCTCTGGCGGGCACCGGCCGCAACTGGGCGGCTCCCCTAACTCTCTAACTTGGCACGTTCACCCCTTCAGCTAACATCCCAACTCAGCACCTCCGGACTCCTCCCTCTGGTGTCCCCAAAGAGCAGAGGGGGGGATTTGGAAAGCCACCAGGACTATTTAAGCCAGGAGAGGACCAAGAATAGTGGCCCAGTCTGGTAAATGGCTCATTTGCAAATTGATTGTTTGGAACTCTGCGTTTTCAACTAAAAGCAATACACCCAAACGGAGGCAGGGCTTCGAGGCCAGCCAGAAAGTCCTGCTTGATCTGATAAGGAAGAACTGTGGTTTACAAGTTAGAAAAAGAAAAAGAAAGCCATCCCACTGCACTTCCTCCTTCCTTTCTCCTTTAGTCATAGCATATCCTTGAGCACATTTAAATACGTGTATCATACCACTGCGTGCAGTTATTTTCATAATGTTAGCAGAAATTAAGTAGTTCTGCAAACTGAAATGGAACAAGCAACGGTTTTTGACATTTGGGGCTTTAGGTTTTCCTTCAATGCTTTGATCGCAAGAATAACTGCTTTGGGGCGCGCGGGTGACTCGGTTAAGCATCCAACTTCAGCTCAGGTCATGATCTCTCGGTCAGTGGGCTGGAGCCCCGCGCGTCAGGCTCTGTGCTGACAGCTCAGAGCCTGGAGCCTGCTTCAGATTCTGTGTGTGTCTCTCCCTCTGCCCCTTCTCAGCTCACGCTCTGTCTCTCTCTCTCAAAATTAAATAAACAATAATGATAATAAAAAACAAATAACTGCCTTCATTGGAGGGAACAAGAAAGAGGCCATTTCCATAAAAATACTGTAACTCGAGTGAACAGGCCTTTGCTCGTGCTGCTCTGAATGTGTTCCCTACTTTTCTGGGAGCACCAAAGTTTAGCCTTGGATGAACCTCTCCCCCAACCCATGCTTGATTCTTATACCTTGGGAACTCTGCCCTAGGTTCCAGGAGTGAAGTATGTGGGTCAGGCTGACCACCAGAGTATAGCAATCTCCTGGCCACAGTGATTGGTTGAAGGATGGACCTGTGACTGAGTCATAACCATCAGGGCAAAATGAGAATTTTACTGGCTTGCGGGAAAAGAAACCAATGTGGGGGCTGGAGCTGCGGCAGCCATCTTGCCACCCAGAGGCAAAAGCTGCCTGAGAATGAAGCCAGTGCACAGGATGTGGAGTGGAGACACGTTGGGAAGGCAAGTCCTGGGGATACTTTCTGTACTGCGAACCAACCCCTGCTTGAAACCAGAAACGACCTCTTCTCAGTTCTATAAACCAAAATATCCCATGACTATGTAAACAGTAAGCATTCAAGATGGGTTTTCTGTTACTTGCAAACAAAAGACACTTGACCAGACACAAGGGTTTCAGTCTCCTTTCAAAGTCAGTGTTTCTGTTTAATGTCTCATTTTTATTTAGGGGCGCCTGGCTGGCTTAGTCGGTTAAGCATCCGACTTCCGCTCAGGGCATGATCTCACGGTCCATGAGTTCGAGCCCCGCGTCTGGCTCTGTGCTGACAGCTCAGAGCCTGGAGCCTGTTTCAGATTCTGTGTCTCCCGCTCTCTCTGCTCCTCCCCTGATCGCACTCTGTCTCTCTCTCTCTCTCAAAATAAATATTTTTAAAAAAAATTTTTTTAAGTGCATAGCTCTCGTTTTCCCCTGTGGCAGAGTCCCACTGGCCTGCTCCCACACCTGCCAGAAACGACCCCTCTGCTTTGTGCTCACAAATGGAAGGCAGGCCCACACAGCGACCCTCCCCCACCCCGGCCCCACATGCAAAGCTGAATTTCTGCATTCACATCCCAGCCTCTTGTGCTTCTAATTCTCATTTGCTCTGAACTTCTTGCTTCCTTTTGTTTTTCTTGGGGTTTCAGGTTGAGGTTGCAGGTCCCCCAGGAGGGACTTGGGAAAGGTAAGCATGCAGGGGAGTTATTCCAGGAATCTCAGGGCCAGCACTGCGGGAGAGGAGGGAAGGAAGTGGGGTCTGCTCGGGAGAACCTGGCAGTGGCAATCTCCATGCCGGCCTCGGACAGTTCCCTAGGGGAGCCTGGAGCGCCCTGGCCCCTGGAGGTGCCCCTGACTTGAGGTGGGGGAGCCAGGCCTTCATCCCAGGGAGACTCCTCAGGATGGGGCAGAGAAAGACAAGGCGGCTGACATCCAGAGGCCATCCCAAGGACAGTGAGGGACCGGACGACGACTTTGTTAACACAGCCCCGGGTGTTCGGCCACGCCTGCCGGGAGCTCCCAAGGCAGCGGGCAGCACCCCCCACGCCCCACAAGCTGCACAGAGACCCTAGGATGACCCTGGCCTGAGCCACAACGCGCTGCCACCCTGCACAGGCCCCTAAAAGAAGGTGGCCCAGTGAGTGCGGGGAGTGAGGCAGGGCCAGGGAAGCAGGAAGGGGCACTCAACAGGACCCAAGGCCCCTTGGGGCTACGGGCACAGGTCTGCTTGGCGTCCACCAGCCCAGTGGAAGGAGGGGCCAGCTCTGGAGGGCACTCTGGTGATAGAAGAAAAGAACAGACAGTCCCAGGGACCCAGCGGCCACAGGCAGGGGACCACATTATTAGTTCCGCCAAGCTGGGCTGGGGGAGCAGTTTATCAAAACCAAAGCTCGGGGTGCCTGGGTGGCTCAGTCGGTTGAGCGTCCGACTTCGGCTCAGGTCATGATCTCACCACAACTCGTGCCTGGTGGGGCAGGGTTTGTTGAGGCCCCGACGCGTCCCGGGGCTCTGTGCTGGCTGATTCACAAGCTGGTGGAGTTTGAGCCACGTCAACGCCAGCCAGCTCGGATTCGAGCCCGGAGTGTCCGCCTGATCTCCAGGTTCCTCTCTGCCCCTAACCACCCTTTCATTCCAGTTCTGTCTCTGTCTCTCTCAAAAATAAACAAACATTAAAAAAAAATTAAAAAAAAAAACAATCAGGTGGGAGAAAGCCCAAGATTGCGAAATTATTTCCAGATTAAAAAAAAAACAAGTAAAAAAAAAATACAGAGAGCTCAGTCAGTGTGTGGTGGGAGGGAAGTCAGGTGACAGGGAAGTGGCTCAGGTGGGACAAGTGTGGGTGGCAGAAAGTGGTAAAGCAGCAAGGCTGCTGGTGCGGTTTTGTGGTGGGGAAGCTCCTTTGCCTTGGGCTCATGTTTACTTGCTCAGGAGAACTGGGCATCAGAGGGAATAACTTGCCCTCCTCCTGCCCTCACACTGAGTCCAGACAGAAGTGTCTGACGGCGGCTGGGAGGTCTCTGGTCCTTGCTTCTGAACTCCTGGAGCTAATTTCTAAAAGGCTGAGATCACTGGGATCCTGCTTTCCTCTCAATGCTCCCTGGTCCCAGGTCACATGCAGCACGACTAGCCCTGGCGTAAAGACCCAAAGTCTCGGGGCGGGGGTGGAGGGGGGAAGTAGGGGCAGGTCTCGACTGGGGGGAGGGGACGGCCCTTCGGGTTTCCAACCAGCTGAGCGGAGTCGGGCTGGAGCCAGGGGCATTTGGCTCTGGCGTCTTTCTCTCCCCGTTGTCTCAACTGGTTCTGCAGCCAGGACAGGAAGGAAGGAATGTCCACCCTGTGGACCCCGAATGCCCCCGTGTCAAGGGAAATCGTGCACCAAGAATGCAAAAAAAAGCAGCACCTCCACTTCCACAAAGTCTCAATACCAGTGCCATGAAGTTTCTGGAAGGAAACAGGGAGCCTGTTGGCACTGCTGCTTTTGCCTGGACTGAAACCCCTTGCGGAGGGACACCTCACCTCGGGCCTGCACTCCTAGCATGTGTCCATGGAAGTCCTGCCACAGGGGAGGGAGGGTGGGCGCCCAAGTGGTGATGTCACACGCGCTTCTCTGCTCTCCAGGGGCCCTGGGGCGGGGAGGAGGGGGAGCACAAATACGGGTGATAACTTACCTGTCGATCTTTCTGGCGTCTCTTGTTTTCAACCAGTCCGGGAAGGTGGACCAGTCCCCAGAAGGCTGCCAGGGTTCTTGCCCCACAAAGAAGTCTGGAAGGATGGCTCTGCAAAAAAGGGACGTCAACTGACCTTCACTTTGGAGCTGGCGGCACTCGGTATTTGCTTACGCTCATTAAGACCCGGGCTACGAGGGAGATTCTGCTTCAGAGGAAAAGAAAAGTCGTGCCCACGAGAGCCAGCTTTGATCACATCCGAGAGGCCAGCTGGCACCGGGCCACACCACTTCGGATTTCACAAGCGTAGGTGCACGGCCTCTGACGGCCGCCGGCAGCCCAGCCCATCCGAGATGACGAGGCAGTCGGACAGGGCGCCCTCCCCATGAGACTGATGGCACAGGATGGAGACCCGGGAGGCATGGGCCCGGGAGGGGCGGGGTGGTGAGCGCAGGGGTGTCCCCGACCCCCTGGAGGAGTCGCAACGCTCAGCTGGCCTTTCGAGTTAGCCTCAGGTCAGAGGGTACATCTGGGGAGCATGTCTAGTCACCATGACTAAGCAGTTTTCCCCCGCCCCCTGCCCGGAGGGGAAGGTCTACTGCAGGTTCTGAAATGGGCCGCGCAGAGAAAACAAGCCAGTCCACTGCGTCCGCGAACACCCCCCCCCATCCCGTCAACCCCGGAGGGTGGGTCAACACAGCTTTGGCCAGAGACCTGCTTCCGAAAATAAAGGTCATCGCCAGGGATGGAGGAGCATAGCTCTTCCTTCCTGGCGTCGAAGGAACCCTGAAGCCTGGGTCAGAAGAATCCAAGTTCAAGTCCCAGTCGGCCCTGTAACCTTAACAGGTCGCTTACCCACTTTTAGCCTCATTTTCTTGACCTGAAGAAGAGACTGCACCCTGCACTGCCCAACCTCAGGGGGTCGTTTTGAAGGAGAGAGGACTTGTACGCCTGTGAGGGGGCTTTGTAGATCACGGGCGGCTTTGCTCATTTTTCGTGTTCTGTCTCCACCCAAAGGACCCCGTTGGGCAACAGAAACCCCAGCCCCAGGCAGCCTGCTGGCTGGACTGGGCTGGGAGCGGTGGGAGCTGTGGCCTCCAGGTGCCGTTTTAGGTTCGTGTGATTCACCTTCCCCATCTACCTGTGCCCAGCGAGACAAGGACGTCGACAGCTTAGCGCACAGTCAGGGTGTCGTGGTTTTGTTTTCCCTGAAGGGATCAAGATAGATCACAGAGGTTTCCATGAAGTGAAGAAACAGAACCGCATACATACGTGTATCCATTTCCTGCGATCATGTCAGTCATGTATCTGCTATTGGGCAACTGCCAGCCAAATATGTCTTGAATGACGATCACAGCCTTGCCCGTGTCGAAGGGGGGTTTGGTGACATAAGCCTTGATGTGCTCGACTTGAACTTCGCGCCCCATCCCTCCATACTCTATCTTATGGCCAATGTCACACGGACAAGGATGAGCCTCGTTAGCCATTGGAGATATTTAAGTTGGGCTACTGAGAGAGAAACATGCATTAGGATCTGAATGGTGCAAATCCAAAGACTGTAAGCAGTAAGTAAATTAAAATCAAGAGCACAAAAAATGGGGCGCCTGGGTGGCTCAGTCTGTTAAGCGTCCGACTTCAGCTCAGGTCACGATCTCGCGGTTCGTGGGTTCAAGCCCCGCGTTGGGTTCTGTGCTGACAGCTCGGAGCCTGGAGCCCGCTTCAGATTCTGTCTCTGGCTCTCTCTGCCTCTCCCCTGCTCTCTCTCTCTCTCTCTGTCTCTCTCAAAAATAAGATAAACATTAAAAAAAAGAGTACAAAAAATAATTAAGTTTAACTCTACATATCGTGTATTTATGGAGGAAATCACTGATAACCTGGGATTTCAGCAACGTGGCAGATGAGAGCTAACAGGAATCCACTCCCATTACAAACACTCAAAATACCTAAGTAAATGTAACCAACGGATAAAAATTAAAATGGGGAACTCATAGGAAAAGAAGGGATTGGAGAGGATTGGATTAGCCAGGATTGGAGAGGAGACCTGAAGCCAGGATCAGCTTGGCATGAGCAGACACTGAGGGAGCCCAGGGATACTGGGGAGAAGGCTAAACCCAGGAACGAGCTCTAACACCACCCGATGCTTAGGATGTGTCCAGTGAGGCCTCTGGACCCCACAAGATAGGGATCCATGGCTGACAGCCCATGCAGTGTCAGAGCCCCAAAAGGTTTATATTTAGTGGGGAACGTAAAAACAAAAAACAATAACAAAAGAAAAAAAAGAAAATTCTACCGACCAGGACTAAGACTGTGATTAGAAAACCCAGAGAAGGTAAAAATAACCCCCCAAATGTCCCCCCCACTGTCCTTTCAAAGTAGGAATACCTAGACTATGACATTTAACCCAATAACTGACCCTGGGCTGTGAAATCCCTGGGCACCAGCAGAAGCAGAAGCAAATCTACTCAGAGCAAGACGTTCCCAATCCAGGACAAAAAACGCCACCCACTGGGGCAGCTGGGTGGCTGTCGAGCGTCAGGCTTCGGCTCAGGTCATGATCTTGCGGTTCGTGGGTTCAAGCCCCACATCAGGCTTGCTGCTGTCAGCACAGAGCCTGCTTTGGAACCTCTGTCTCCCTCTCCCTGCCCCTCCCCTGCTTGTGCTCTCTCTCTCTCTCTAAAAAATAAATAAACATTAAGAAAAACAAAAACAAAATACACCACCCACTGAAGAGGGACAATAAAGGCCCTGACAGTGGCTGGGGTCTGGATAGAATTTGCAGGGAAAGCCAACTGAGGCAAAGAGGAGACAGGAGGATGAGGGGTTTTGCCTGAGCAACTGTCTTTAATTGAGAAGGAGGACACTTGGGAAGAGCAGGTTTGAAGAGGTCAGGACTTAAATGCGGAGCCTGGGAAGTCTGAAATGTCTGCTCGACAAGCTCCGTGGACCGCGCAGAACAGCAAGTTTGGGGCAGGGGTCCAAGCCGGAAGCACAAACTTGATACAGTATGGTCAGCCTACACAGCCAAGCCTCATTTTTTGCCGCTTCCATGCACGTGAAGTTGCCTAGTCACAAAACTTATTTGCAACTCCAAAATCAATACTTGCAGTAATACTGCGACCATCCACGGACTTTTGTAAAGCACTGAAAAATCTGAGTCACCCACATGCAAGGTCCTGGCCAAGGTCGAACAAGGCAACGCCCCGCCTTCCCATATCAGCCCTCACGCTGTAAACAAGTATCCTTTTCGCTTTCTATTTAGCGCCACATCTTTTGCATTTTTGTGCTTTTTGGTGGTGATTGCGGTGTTTAAAGAATGGACTCCGTGCACAGTAGTGAAGAGCTGTCTAGTAATAGGGCACGAAGGCTATGATGTGCCTACAAAGATAACGTGTGCAGTAGACAAGCTTAGTTCAGGCACACATTACACCTGTTGACTGCGAGTTCAATGTTAATGAATCACCTATGTATTAAATGAGGTGTCTCTACACAGAAACACACAAAAAACTAGGTTATGCACTGATCAGTCGACAGAAACATGACCAGAGGCTCATAGAACCCTACCTGTATTTCCTCTTGGAGCCATGGTTCAGTATTTGCTAGTTCAGTGTCCCTGTGACTTTATAGAACGTAACCACGTTCTATGGCTGACCCTTGAACCACACAGGTTTGAACTGCACGGTCCACTTACACGTGGATTTTTTTTTTTTCAATACATTCAGCACAGGACTGCAAATGTATTTTCTCTTTTTTTATGATGTTTTTACCATTTTCTTTTCACTAGCTCACTTCATTGTAAGACTACAGTGTATAACGCACAGAGCATGCACCCTCTGTGTTCATCAACCGTTTATGTTACCAGAAAAGCTTCCGATCAATAGCAGACTATAAGGAACTACATTTCTGAGGGGGTCAAAAGTTACATGCAGATTTTTTGACTGCACAGGGGTCCATGCCCCTAACCGCCCCCCCCCCACTCCGATGTTGTACAAAGTCAACTATACTGTAAATAACGAGAATCAGCAGTACATAGTATTGGAAACCTCGAGCGTGAATGGCATGATTAAAGGAATGATTAGATAAGAAGAGATAAGGAAGAAGAAGGATCTAGAAGAGCGAGCGAGCCCTGGGGCCTTCACCATTAAAAGCTTTGGGGAAAGAGTGAGCCTGAGAATAAACAGTCAGAAGGGAGGAACCCCCCATTCACGAGCCTGGAGCCACATGAAGACAAGTTTTCAAGGAGGGAGACTGTAGACACAGGCATTCTGCAAGAGGGGTGGCCACAGGGCTCAGCAGCGTGGACGTCAGGGTGGTCTCCACGAGAACAGGTCTGGTGGCCATGACGGCAAGCGGGCTCGGGGGAAAATGAGAGGAGAGCACCTGACAGCGTGAACACAGAAGTTCTTCGAGGCTTTTACCAGAAAGAGGGGCCAAGAGAGCGAGCAGACGGAGGGAAGGGAGAGCAACAGGTCTTTTTATTTTTTAACGGAAGAAATGTTAGTACATTTACAGGTGGATGAGAACGGGTGCCTCACAGAGGCAAACAAAGCAAAACCAGCCCAACCCACGGTGCCAGGTGATGAGGGACACAAAGGCAAGAGAAATGTAGCTTAAATTAAATTTCCTGACAGCTTGCAGCCCACTGACACCTGACACGTAAGAGCGTGACCTTGCTCAAGGAACTCACCGCTGCCTTAGTGCCTTAATGTTCACTTTTATTAAAGATTAAAAGCGACCTTGGGGCGCCTGGGTGGCTCAGTTGGTTAAGCGTCTGACTCTTGCTTTGAGCTCACGTCATATGATCTCACAGTGTGCGAGTTCGAGCCCCGCGTTGGACTCTGCACTGACTCTCTCTCTCTCTCTCTGCCCCTCCCCTGCGTGTGCTGTCTCTCTCTCTCTCTCAAAATAAATGAATAAACATAAAAAAAACAAAAAGCCTAAAAGTAACCTTATCTTAACAGCAGCTAGCCCCTCAAGGTCCTGAAAGCCTTGATTCCAAGTTCCTTAGGGACTTGAGCTCTCCCTAACTACCACTAATTACTTAAAAGTACACAACCAGTCCCTCCTCACAACCCCAGGGCAGCTCTTTCTGCCCACAGGGCCTGTCCCCGTGCTATAATGAGATCACCTTTCAGCACCAAAATTCTTTCTTAGCTGTTTGCTCACAAACCCTAGAGCTAGGTGAGCTAGGGGAGGGGGGCTGGGGTCAGCCCAGGGAGGAGACCACCCACCTTCCTTGGAAGCGTGGACGGGTCCTCCTCGGTCCCAGGAGGGGAGGCGGAGGAGGGGTGGATGACATCGGGGCAGGGGGCCGAGGACGCTCCGCGCATCTGCTCAGAAAACTGAGAGCAGAGTCAACAGTCAGGGTGAGAGCGGGGGGGAGGGGGGGGAGGGGAGGGGCAAAAGAAGTGGGAAAATGAAGGACCAGGGAACTGTACACGGTCCTTGAGGCCATGCGCCCCCAGCCAGGTCCGGGATGGTGGCTTGAGGCTGGCAGCGAGATGCAGCAGAACAGACCAGGCTCTGGAGGTCACTACGGGGCAGGCGGATCCACGGTGAACAGGCAGAGCCGAGGTGGAAAGACGGACTGGCCAACGAAGGGGCGTAAGATGCGCCGAGATCACAGTGGATCCCTACCTGCCACGTCGCTGCCCTGCCAGATGGTTAGAAACCTGAGTAGAAAAGCAAAAGTCATCTGTTGGAAGAAAATAAAGGGGAACACCTTTTCCTTGAATCTTGGAGCAAGGCAGCATTTCTTACATTAGACCCAAAAACATGAACCATAAAGAAAAAGATTAATAAATTTCATTAAGTACGTATCAGTCTGCTCGAGCTGCCGTAACAAAATACCACAGGCCGGGCAGCTGACACAACAGAAATGTGTTTCTCACCGTTCCGAGGGCTGGATGTCAAAGGTCAGGGTGCCAGCAAGGTGGGGCTCTGAGGGGGACTCTCCTCACTTGCGGACAGCCGCCTTCTCGCTGTGTCCTCACACGCAAGCTTTCTGGCCTCTTCTTAGAAGAGCACGAATCCCGCCATGGGGCCCCACCCTCATGACCTCATCTCAGCCTGATCGGCCAAGGCCCCACCTGCAAATACCGTCACACTGGGGGTTAGGGCATCCACCTATGAACTCTGGGGACACACAATGCAATCCACAGCGGTAGGTGACTGTAAAAACCACTTATAAGACAACTGGGGGAGACTGAACTGGTTGGATGTCTCATGATATTGAGAGTTACTGTTAACGGACTGGTGGGCAAGGGCCAGATACAACTATCAAAGTGATGGTTTTGTGTGTGTGTATCTGTATCTTTTTTTTTTTTTTGAGACAGAGAGAGACAGAGCATGAACGAGGGAGGGTCAGAGAGAGGGAGACACAGAATCCGAAACAGGCTCCAGGCTCTGAGCTGTCAGCACAGAGCCCGACGCGGGGCTCGAACTCACGGACCGCGAGATCATGACCTGAGCTGAAGTCGGCCTCCCAACC